AACACAACTTTTGTGGTTTTGTTTTTTAATTCCTTGAACATCACTGGCTCAATATCGTCACTTCTTTGACTAACTAATTGAATTTACAACAGTAAATTATTTTTCTAGTGCAGAATTGCACAAAGGTCATTCATTCATTCATTCATTCATTCATTCATTTTCTTATAGGTTTGTAAATCATAAAAGTTTTGGCCAAAGTAAAAATGCACTATATTGCCCAAAGTATTCACCCGCCCAAATAGTTGAATTCTGGTGTTTCAATAACTTCCATGGCCAACGGTGTGTAACATCCATCACTCTGGCATCCCGAGTGCTTCTGCAAACATTTTTGAAAGAATGGGTCACACTCAGGAGCTCGGTGAATTCCAGCGTGGTACCGTGATAGGATGCCGGTCACTGATAAATAGTCGACAGTCAACGGTTGGTGGTATTAGGGCTGCAATGATTCATTGACTAATTCGAGTAATTCAATTATAAAAACATCCATAAGACAAATTCTTTGCTTCGATGCTTCATTTAATACACGGCTCTGTAGCGTGCCGACGTGTTAAACGCGACTGTTTGACCCACATTTTCGACTGAAAACAGACCTGCATACAAACGTATTTAGGAACAGCATATAAATATCAAAAAGTTTGACATTGAGCGCATACACACACCCCAGAGTTTCAGCAAAAAGACTGTTAAACAGCAGCAGCAGTGATGATGATGGTCTCATAGTTTAACATGGAGCTGAATATTCATTAATGCTCTTAATAACACCGGTGTTTCTTATCCAGTTAACTGATAGAATAATCATTAGATTCATTCATGCAGTCATTAGAGCTCGGCTTAGCGCCTTAGTTCCAGTGAAAGGAACTCTTAATGCTTCAACATACAAGAATTTTGGGCGTTTTCATGCTCCTGACTTTGTAGGAATAGTTTGGGGATGGCCCCTTCCTGTTCCAGTTGTGCACCAGTGCGCAAAGCAAAGTTTTATAAATACACGGATGAGCGACTTTAGCATGGAAGCACTTAACTGGCCTGGACAAAGTGCTCAACTCAACCTGACAAGCTGTGGGATGAGTTAGAGCAGAAACTGCGAGCCAGGTCTTGTCTGACCTTACAAATGCGCTTCTGGAGGAATGGTCAAAAATTCAATCTCAGGTTTGCAGTAGGGCTGGGCCATATCATACCGTTCACGGTAATACCGGTGTAATTTTGGGCAACGATAAGAAAATTAAATATCGCGATAGAATATGGGTAGAACGCGCATGCGTTGTGCCTTTGTTTTCATACGCACATCGTGGAAAAACCACGGTGTATGAGAAGGGCGAAAGCGGATCGTTGAATGGAACGGATGAACCAGAATTGGTTTGTAAAAAAGCTGCAACTTCAGTGGTGTGGAACTGGTTTGGCTTTCGTCCGTCAGATACACAACAAAGCACTATTTTTGGTAGAGCATGCTAGCGGGCCGTCGTTATTACCGTGTTTTTTGGAAAATACGGCACACTTAAAATCAATCCTTTGATTTTTCTGACAATCGACAGTGCCCCTTATAATCCCGTGTGCCTTATGTATGAATTCTGGTTGTGTTTACTGACCTCGAAACGATTTTGTCATACACGACGCTAGAAAATCTGAAATGTTTTTGTACAACTTTGCTAAGCTACAAAGCCGCACCGCTTGATGGATTGTCGGAGCATTACGGCTACCGTAGGCAGGAGCCTCGCGGAGTGATACGTACTGTGCTTCAACATAATATTACCGTGTGTGTGTGAGTGTGAGAGACTTCTTTTTATATTTTGTGGATATTCTACATGGTTATGCTGAGGATATGTCGGCCAATTTCCACTGGAAATGCCTTTTGGTTAAACTGTCAGCGAGGAATTTGCATTTGCACTGTTAGATTTTTTTTATATAACTTTAATGCACATAAAAAAACAGCTGCTTGTTTAAGTGAAAACACATTGATGATTTTTTTTGCACTAATAAAGTTGTGGAGTTGTAAAGTATTTTGTCTAGTGTCAATTATATCGTCAATTATATCGTTATCGCAAATTTTCAAATGTATATCGTGATAAATATTTTTGGTCATATCGCCTGCTCTAGTTTGCAGTACACAACAAGGATATATTTTCTATGTTCAGTCCTGTAGTGGGTTTAGCTGTTTTAGCTGCTGATCTTTGGATCCCATAATTTTTTTTCTTTTTTTTTTGGATGACTGAAATAATGAGGGAAATTGTCTTCCTGTTTTCAGCTGCCATGGGAGCCATCTTTGGAATGACAACATGTCTCAGTGCTCAGGCCCGTGAAGCTCCAGACGACCCGCTGAATTATTTTATCGGCGGCTGTGCCTCGGGGATTTTTTTGGGAGCACGAAGTAAGTATCAGTCCTGACAGATGCGACTAGACAAGAATTCAAAATTTTATTTATTTTTTTCAGGAACACAACAAAAGTTAGTCCTTTTTAAATAAAAAGTGTGATGTGCAATTAACACACCACATTCTTTAGAGCATATTTGTGCTAATGTGCCACAATAATAATCAGCTGTATAACTAAAATGAACTTGGACTGCACTGCAGTGTAATTCTAAATGACATTTTACTTGATCATACTTACTACGTCTGCATAAGTTTCAAACAGTCCTTTTTTGTGTTACTTATTGCTGAGAATCACAGCTGTGGATCTTCTGCACTATTTCTTATAGCACAATGGATTGTGGCCAAAAGAAAAACCCCTTATTGGCCAGTATGAAGAATATATAAATATAAAATTCACAAGAATTTAAAAATATGTTTTCTGTATACTTTCTTTAAATCTTAGAGTAAGTCCCAGTTCTTGGTGTAAACTCCGCTCTGCTGCTTGAGGAAATGCTGCTTAATGAGAAGTTTAGGAATTGCAGTGACTCTTATCATCACTAACAGGTGATGATGGTAGACGGCTTGTTATATGGCTAATTAAATCTGTTCTGAACATTTTTCATTTAAAGTCACAGTGGGGATGGGAACTGATAAGAATTCAGCGATTCTGATTCTAATATCAATATCTCTTATTGATTCCCTTCACGATGCTCATTGGCTCCACTTTGAGTCACCACCATCTCTAAGCAGCTTTTCAAAGACATTAATAATGTGCTGTGTGGTCAAATGTTTGTGCATGTTGGACAACCGATTTCCTTCAGGGGAAAACAAGATCATAGATTCTGTTCAGTAACAGAGAAAATGTCTCTGCAGTTCTACAGTAGCATTTGGTTTGCCTAATTAAAATCATACTGTGTGCTGTGTCTGTGTATCTCCAGCTCACAGTGCTATAACTGGTACATCTGCATGCCTGGGTCTTGGAACACTGGCTTTCTTTACAAAAGTGGGCAAGATGGAGGGATGGAAACTTGCTGGACCACCTAAACTATAAGAGGAAGATGCCCGGAAGATTGTTATATTGTAAAAAATACCTAATGTAATAAAGATTTTTGAAAAGGCCAAAAAAATGTTGGTTCATTTTATTTGATTTCATTTTACATTTGAAAACACTTTTAATTTAACTAGCTGTTGATGTAGAAACTGGAAAAAATGTTCGGCTATAGCTGTGTCATATGGTTCTTATGTTTACAAAGGTTTATGTCCTTTTTTAAAAAATAGCCTGGAAGTAGCCTAGCTCCTAATAATGTCATTTATTTACACATGCCACAAAATGTGCAAAAACATTGTATTTCTGTGTAATTTAGTGTTAAATATTATTGTTAATGACATTAACAAGCATTTTTGTTAGACAGCAGGAAAGTCGGATGGTTGCCAGAATTGATTTATTGAAAATTTGCCAGCAGTGCAATGAAAAAGCAAATCACAGCAACACTGAGTGAAATGCTGCGTACAGTACAAATGCATCACCTTCTAATTTTCTACTTTTCACATATGTTTGTGGATGTTGACAGGAATTTTAACTTTTTCTCAAGTTCAAGACTCATTTCCAGTTTTTGGAAAACAAAACTGATATAGTGCAGACTACAAAAGCATACTTCAGAAGATGGCACTGGTCACTGCAAACTCATAAAACAGGTTTTTCTGGTCGAAAGCTGCAATTCCGCTGTATAAGTAACTATTGTGTCTTTTTTATTTTATTTTTTTATTTTTTTAAATGAAGAAAAAAAAGCAACTTCAATAAAAGTTATGAAATCCAGCACCAACTCCCCACTTTACTGATGCTTAGTTGCAGGTTCTTCAAGTCACATCAGACTTGCTAAGATTAGCATTACCAAGCAGGAAGAGCCATTCCTGAGTCAATTATGCTCAAAGGATATATAAAAGTACAAGATGCTTCCAGACTCCCAAACAATTTTTATTCAGTTAAACATCAGTAGGATGCAAAGGAATAACAAAGTACCATGCAACAGACAGGTTCAAAATATGGGAAGTGGACTAGTTCTTATATGGCACTTTTCTACTCGAGCACTCAAACTCCTCGGGAAAAGCACCAGTTTTCTTGTGTCATAGAGACCATAGGTAATCCCAATTGACCTGTGATAGATACGTATGTCTGTTGTCAAGATATAATAGCTAACCAGTGGAGTTTGACAGTCTCATTAACAAACTTATTAATCATTGACCAGCTGAGTGCACAGATGCACATACCTTTGTCAGGTTCAGAGGAAGGAAAAACAAAACTGTTTCAGTCAGAGGATTCATACATATGAAAAACTGTAAAATAAACGTTGTGTGATCATTGTCTGGGAGAGTGGAATCAACATGTCTACCAGTTTTACAACAGGTAAAAGCTTTTTTGTTTTAATTAAATTTGTTCTTCTATGTACAGAACACTTTATTTAATTGGAAACAAAAATAGTTTTGTATGCAGCTTTGCAGAGCATGAAATGGTCAACGAAAATCAGAGAAGCAGCTTATAACACTTAAAGTCCAGGAGTTTTTTTTATACAGTTAATTTAGCTACTTTCAACCTCTACAGTCTGTCACCACAATAGTTGAATCTTTTCTTTAAAGACCTTTGACCGAGGGTTATTATAAGGTCAATGAAACCAAAGAAAGCTGGAGAAAAGTGGAATAGATTCAAAACGATTACTTTTACCATTTACACTGTCTAAAGTACTGAGACTTCTTCAATAATATCTACCAACATTTTTACACACTGGTTACAGTCAAAGCATAGATTCATACAGTTCATCCACTTAATGGACTGCACTATATCATTTCCCTCAAAAAAGCATATTAATTCATTTTTTAAATGCAGGTATTTTACGTCTGTTTATTTATGTATTTATTCTTTTATTAGGGCTCACAAGCTTTCAAGCACCACAGTGTATCTACTTGTGTAGGAGTGAAAGCTGTCAGACTGGGTTTTTTAAGGATTTGCAAACTGACAAAAAGGCCTTTGTATAGCATAATTTAATACTGAAATACTTTATTCTGTGTACTTATAGGACTTTATCTACAAGCACAACATGGCCAGTTTGCAATTACCAATTAAAAATTTACTTTTACTTTTGATCAGAGGAAGTCAGAGTAGAGGAAACACACACACACACAGGCACCAGACGACAGCTTTGCTTTTGTGCTCAGCTCTCTCTTCAACATGACGGGCACAGCGTCCACACCACTGCAGACGCCACCCCAATCCATCTGTCAATCTCTTGCTTTCCCCTCACTTTTGAGCAAGACTGCAAGATACTCAAGTTCCCGTCTTTTCTGGCTGAGGACCATGGCTTCGGATTTGGAGGCACTAAGTGTCATTGCAATGCTTCACACTTGGCTGCAAACCACTCCGTTGTAAGCTGAAGGCCACCACTTGATGCAGCTAACAGAACCACATCATCTGCAAAAAGCAGAGATGCAATTCTAAGCCAACCAGACTGTAAGCCTTCCACCACCTGGCTCCGTCAAGAAAGTCTGTCCATAAAAATTATGAATCAAATCAGTGACAAAGGGCAGCCCTGGTGGAGTCCAACACCAGCTGGGAATGATCGTGGGGAAGCTGAGAGCTACCACATGGACCTCCCTAGAGAGCAAAGTGAGCATCCCCGACAGGCCTCCCTTGACACCACACCCCAGACCACACCACAGATTGACAAAAGGAAAGAATTAAGGTATTGCAATGGCCCAGGTAAAGTCCAGACCCCAACTCGAAATGCTATGATAAGATCTTAAGAAAGCTGTGCATAAATGAATGCCCACAAACCTCAATGAACTGAAGCACAACACTGTAAAGAACATTGGCCTAAAATTCCTCCGATGTGAGAAGGTGACATAATTAAGGGGCCTGAAAAATAAATTAAAGCCCATACAGGTAAAGAACGTAATTTAACCAAAAGAAACAAATGTACTGAAATTATATTTCATTAACCTTAATTTTGGTTAATTTTTCTTTTTATGTTTTAGCTTCTGTAAGGCACTCTTTTATTTTTATCTTGATAGGTGCTATATAAATAACATTTTGCTTTACTTGCTTTTACTTTACTCACCACACAGAGGTTCTGTTGTCTATTTTATATTCAGATGGCAGCCCCCTGCCCACCACTGCAGCTCCCAGCACAGCTCTCACTATGGGTGCTGCTGACATTGCTATTGTTGTTGTCTACTTTATAATTGTCATGGTGGTTGGAATCTGGGTAAGAAGAGACTGAACTAATTTCATATTTACATTTGAATCAATAAACAGTTTATACCAAAGCTAATTTAAGCTTGATTTGTTTGTTCCTTTATGTGTAAAAAATACAAGAAAGTTCTGTACAAGTCCCTGCTAAACATGTTTATATAGAAAAATAAAATTATTTTTACATATTTTTTCTACATGTTTAATTAACTATAGTCATTATGAGTGCATTTCTCCATTTACTAGAAAATGATTCTTGGATGTTCTACAGAGAGTTCATCCTTGTAAAAAATAAACAGATTTTTTTTGACCCAGCTAATTGAGTTTTCTGATGTAGAAATGTGCAGCATGATTGTAAATGTATTTACTATATTTTGCACCAGATCAATCTTTGGTGTTGTTTTAAAACTGTATTATTCTAATCTTTTCTTTTGTCCTTGCTATAGTCATCAATGCGTGTCAATCGCAGCACTGTTGGGGGGTACTTCTTGGCTGGTCGTTCAGTGACTTGGTGGCCTGTGAGTAAAAAACGATTGACTGTTGTGCATCATATAAAGCTCTTGATTTCAAATCGATTGTCACACGCCTGTGCTATGAGGACCCTGTACGACACACACACAGCCAATGTTCTAATGCAAGGGACTTTCTATTTACAATAAACAACAGACTTAAGTCAAAGTCAAATTTATTTGTATAGCACATTTAAAACAACTGTTGACCAAGGTGCTGTACAATCAAGATAAGCAAAAGAAATAAAAACATAGGGAAACATGCACACGCACATATACACATCCACATTCCAATGTGATAAACGAATGCACCTACTTTTGTATATAAATAAAGACCAGAGCGGTAACAGAGCGCACTTCACAGGGCCCCCCACTCCGATGTGAGCGCTCTGTGACCGCCCTTGCGAGTAAAAACTGCAGCGTGTGTCTCCACTCTCTGACTCTCAGCTGAAGAAGTGTCTTTTAGAATAAATCTCTTGACATCCACCCTGGAGACTGACTGAAGACAAAACTTTGTTAAAATTAAAATAAGAATGAGAAATACTAAATTATAACATTTGATATTTCAAGTTATGGTAGGAATTGTGTTGATTTTCTGTATAAACTAAATATGACTAAAGTGCATTCACAGGCTGTCACTTAAAAATGTTATTATGTAGTTGTAAGTATTTTAAGTAAGTATTCTAAAAGCTTTTGTTGTTATTGTCTATTATCTCTGTTCCACTACAGATTGGAGCCTCTCTGATGTCCAGTAATGTTGGCAGTGGTTTATTTATTGGTCTAGCAGGGACAGGAGCAGCTGGAGGAATCGCTGTTGGGGGATTTGAATGGAACGTAAGAGATGCACACACACACACTCAGACACCCTGTTGGGCACTGCATGCAGGATTTAAAATAACAACATGATCATTCAGTAGTTTCTTTGTAAGGACAATCATTTCATAATCAGTTTGTGATTCAATCGGGTGGCAATGAAGCTAATATGGGAGAAATATGATTTTTTTTCCCTTCTTGTCCCTGGAAGTATTCTCAGTTAAGTATTTTGGATCAACTGAAGGGTTTTCAGAAAACATTTAGGACAACATGATTACAGGGAATTATAGTAGTCCAGCCTTGATATAAGACAGAACAACGATGAAAAACTATGTGTACATGCACCACAGAAATTATTCATTTAACTATTGCTTTTTGTTTCAATGCAACTTTTAAGAGTTGCTCCGAGTATTTCTACATCTTCATTGTGTTGGTTGTAACATTAGATGTTTTGGGGTTTCTTTTTACACCAAAATCAGTTAAATCAGTTAACACTTGTTGACTATGAACAGGTTGTATTCAACTATCTAAATATGCGACTGTCCGAGCTGGATCACTGCAAGACTAAAGATTTAGATATGCTATGTAAATAGGGCGAAAACTCCCAGTAGACGCTTGTTTGGTACTTCTTCATTTATGCTATTTAAAACTTTGCAATGTCCACTTGAAAAAGTGAAAAACATGAACAACTGTTATATTTACTTTTGACAATACGGACAATGGCTCAGTGCAACATTTTGTGTTTCTGTGTGTTTCTGTAGGCATCGTGGGTTCTGGTAGCTCTGGGTTGGATATTTGTCCCCGTTTACATCTCTGCTGAAGTGGTAACAATGCCTGAATACCTGGCCAAACGCTTTGGAGGCCAGAGGATACGCATATACATGTCTGTTCTGTCACTTATTCTCTACATTTTCACCAAAATATCAGTAAGACATTTATTTTTTTTCAAAAATATAAATGATCTTAATATGATACAGTAGCCACATTACCTGTGTGTGTGTGCGTGTGTGTGTGTTTCCCAGACAGACATTTTTTCCGGGGCATTGTTTATCCAGGTGTCATTTGGGTGGAATCTGTATCTGTCTACAGTCATACTGTTGCTGGTGACTGCTGTCTACACTGTGGCAGGTAAAACACAAACACGTTTTGACTGTTTTTAGTATTAATGTTAAAAGTTATGTCAGTGCAAGCTTTCAACAGCATAACTGTTTGCCATCATTTAAAATAAATTACATCAGTTTTTTATCTGATGGGTTTTTCTGGACGAGAACCAATTTTTTTTTATCCCACATGCAGTATCCCAGCAAATTTTGATTTAGTTAGTCTCTTGACCAAAATGTCAAACTTTTTAATCATAATTCTTTTTGGTTTAATCAATTTTTAATCAACAAAATATCACAAGACTATAATATACTATAGCAGGAATGATGCTGATGAGTACCAAACACAACACTGGAGACATTAATCCAAGTGTCTAATCAAAGGGCTTTCTGGAGGTAGTAATGAAGAGAGTCGACTGTCCATGGGATCGTCAGACACTTCTTTTCCACAATATTATACCCACCTGATGTAAACCACAGGGCAGTCAACCCCCCTTCCTGCTAGGGCAAAATGGCCCTCAGGCCTCTGCTCCACAGCACAAAAAGGGAGGGAGAAGTTAAGAGCAGGGGTTTCTCACGTCCCAAGTGGTTCCCCAGATACTGTACCTCCCTCCGTCCAGCCGCACACTTCTTTGTGTTGGCCATGTGCTTCACCTGCCTCAGGAAATCCAGGACCGCAACCACTGAATATGCTCCGCCCAGGTGTTGCTATGGATGATGATGTGTTCCAGATAGGCGTCAGTATACAAAGTGTGCGGTTGCAGTACTCGGTTCATGAGGCGCTGCAAAGTGCCTATTTTTTCCTGGATGCTGCAGACAAGGCAATCTGCCAGTAGCCCATGGTCACATTCAGTGTTGTGAAAAAATGAGCTGTGCCTAACCAGTCCAGTAGTTTGGTAGTTTCCGGCGCATGGGAAAAGCAGACGTGGGGTCACCCAGCAGCCACGGTGCAGAAGCCACAGGGGGCTGCAGTGACGATCCCGCAGGCATGGAGACAAACAAAAATGGACACTGTACACACACTGACACTCGCCAAACATACTCTATACCCCAGGTCCTGGCACCATTGCCCCCAGAGGGGCAATCCGCCCCAAGACCCAGGAGAAGTTACCCTTTTCCCTGGGGTGGGGACAGTCCTGCAGCAGCAGGGAGGCCCAGCATCCCAGACCCCAAACAGATGGCCAACTCCTCCTCCCAGCCCCCTGCCCCGATGGCGGAGAGAACGGGAGTGTGAAGACCCCATACCTCTCCCTCTCTCTAATGTGTAGTGTTGCTGCGTGTTGTTCTAAAGTGCTTTTAAAACATGGGAGGGGCATGATGCTTTCTGCCAGAGAGCAGCAGGTGACACCACGGCCCAGGAACCCTCAGTGTCTACATGCATTTAAATTGAGAGGTGGGCACCAGAGGTGAGGTTGAATACACAGACCATCCTCTGGACGCCGTATAGCACGCCCACCCCCAAGGCCCTATATGTATGTGTTATGAGAGTGTGAGTAATGTGGATGTCTATGTTGTGGAATAAAAATGAGGCACAGGAGGCCAGAAGGTGACAGAGGAGGAATCCCTCCCCTGCACCTTGGTGACACACCTGTACCCCAAGACACTGCATGTGTGGGTGGGTGTGATGGAGGCTGTTTCCCTCTGTTACTAACATTCAGGAAGTCCAGCAGCCAGTTACACATGGGGGTGCTAATACCCAGGGAGCTGAGTTTCCTCACCAGCTGCTGGAGAACAATTGTATTAAATGCTAACTTAAAGTCAACAAGGGGTGACGATGAAACATTGTCATCTACTGTTTTTCAAAGTGTCTGTAATTATGATTTTAAGGGAAATGAAAATGTTACCATGTTTGTTCAGTGCTCAGAGTGCAGTTTGTATTTAGTAACTCACTGTGACAGGAATGATGGACCCGACCACATATTTTGCTCTTTACACACTTCTTTATTCCTGGTTGCTGCTCTCCCACACAACAACAACAACAGCAACATCAACCTCAGGTCCTGGCACATTTGACATAGGGTGATGAGCTGATCGAGCTCAGGTGTGTCAGCCTCCCCCACAGCCGCGCCACAAACCACACCCCGCCACACTCACCTAGTTCAACTGTTTTTGAAATAAGAATTTGCTAAATTATTTATGTTGAAAACGGTCTAAATAACACTATTACCCTGACACAGACAATCTGACAATAATATAAAAATCTGTATTTATGTAGGTGGTTTGGCAGCTGTGATCTACACTGATGCTCTCCAGACTTTGATCATGGTTGGAGGAGCTTTTGCCTTAATGTTCATAGGTATGGTACACAGACTTATACAGATACACAAACACAATCATGGGTTCTTAATTACACGACTTACATAGTACTGAAAGTTTGGATTAAAAGGTGTTATTGGCCGAAATGTTTCAAGTTAAGTATCAATCAAAAAATAGAAAACTGTTTCTTTGCATCCAGTTATCCTCACTGAAGGCTTCCACATCTACATGTCATAATATTTATTAGTTAATAAGTGAAGTTATAAAATTGTAAAAGTCATTGTACATTTTCCAGCATTCTCCAAGGTGGGCTGGTATGAGGGCCTTATGGATCGTTACATGTCAAGTATTCCCAATGTGACTGTTCCCAACACCACCTGCCACTTACCCCGTAGTGATGCTTTCCACATGTTCAGAGACCCTGTAACAGGGGATTTACCCTGGCCAGGTCTACTGTTTGGGCTCACCGTACTGGCTACATGGGTCTGGTGCACAGATCAGGTGATTTGATCTACACTAAAATTCAGCATGGTGTAGTAATGTTATTGTAGCGGCACACTGCTGTGGGAATGATCCTGGAGGTGGCGGTCTCAAAAACTGATAACATTCGTCTCTGTGAGTCTAAAAAATATGTCCCAATACAAATAAATAATGCAACTGATTTTAATTCCTCAAAACACACCTTGAACTCTTTATAACATTCTTCCTTCTCAGGTTTGAATGTAAATGACAAAAGGCAGCATTTGCATACTTGGCCAAAAATGAGTATTACCTGCTATAGCCAAGGTAATGCCATCCAGAGTCTCTGGAGCAGCATATCTCTAGTTAGAGATATGCTGCTAAGATATTTAGGGCAACCTCAGTTTTAACAGTTTTAATTTCTAACAAGTCAGTGTACTCTTAATGCCAGTCCCAAGCTCAGATAAATGGGAACAGTTGGAGAAGAAGGGCATTAGGCATAAAAACATGGCCAAATAAAACACGCAGAACATCTATAATGAAATTTCTATGCTGGATTGGTTGTGGCCCAGGTTAACAATGTCTGCCAACAGGGTGCCAGTGGAAACTGTGCTACTGTTGGCCAAAAGAAAGAGGTGAAGTGGAAGAGGCAGCATGAGTAAAGAAAAGTCACAGATGTGGAAGTGAGAGTAGAAACTATAAATTCAGGGACTATAGAATAGAATAGCCCTTTATTGTCATTGTACATGTACAAGAAAATTGTGGGTGCTCCACACCAACTGCACCACAATAGAATATAAATAGTAGACAGGAGGAATAAATAGCAAATAGTAAATATATATCATCAAGAGGGATATATACAAAAGAAGAGAAATCTATAAAAAGAAATAAGAGAAAGGCACACATTAGAGAACAAAATAATTGCAAAGTGCTCAAAAGTGGTGCAAAGAAAAGACTTGCTCTGAGTATAGATTCAGGCTGGTTTGTGAGGAAATCTTTGCCTGTACTTCACTCGTCTTCCAAAGTTTTGGGTTAGGAAAAACTAGCTGGAGGCGAGCATCATCTGGTTATGTTTTAACAACTTTTGAGGGGTTTATTTACTGAGTGGGGTGTAGGCAGAGGAAAGAGTACAAGGAGACTTGGTGGTGGAATGAGGAAGTAAAGCAAAGTATTCAAAGGAAGAAGTTACCAAAGAAAAAGTTGGATAGGCAGATGAAGAAATTCGGCATACCGCACAAAGAAATGCTTATAAGGAGTTGTATGTGAGGTGGGATACTAAGGAAGAAGGAAAGGACTTGTATCCGTTGGGTAGCCAAAGAGACTGAGCTGGAGCAGACATGTAAACGGTTTCATTAATTAAGGATAGAGATGGAAACAAGTGAACAGAGTTTTTTGAGGAAGAAGGAGTACTTTGACGAGCTGATGTAGACAATGAGAGAGAGAGGATCACAGTCATTTTGTCCCTGTGTTACAACACTAAATATGAAACACCCCCTCCCTTTTTTAACATTAAAAATTTCAGTGAATTGCATTACTTATTTGAATTCAAACATATTTTTTAGACTCAAAAAGTTATTTGTTATCCGTTTTTTGCGACTATCACCTCTATTGATCATTCTCACAGTAATTTGGCGATGAAATATTCTTACTGCATAACGCTGTTTTACTTCTCATTGCATCACTTCCAAACCTATGCTGCTTTTCTACAAAACGTAATTACTTCTGATCGGAGAGATGAGAATCTCTCCAGTACATCTTCATCTCAATTGTGTCAAGTGTCATTGTCCATTAGTTTTTGTTCAGTTATCATTTTGTTTATGTCAGGGAAAAAAGATCATCTACAAAGACTATGACAAGAATTATTGGTCAATACAATTAACAGTGTTTAACTGTATTGTAATGTCATTTTTGAGACAGTGTTGACACTTCACAAACCAGAAACCACAGCAACATTTCAGAAAATGCTATAACGAAAAACAAAACACAACAAGAATATACAAAAGTACATTATCTGAACTACAGTTAAGATACAGGGATGCATACACCTGTAAAGGCCAGCTTGCCAATAGTTACTCTTAATCATTAACCAACATTAATAAAAATGAGAACTGATTCATATAATCATGTCTGTGTTCTCTACTAGCCTTATATAACTGGGCAATGACAGATAACCCACAAGCTAGGCAGCTGAAAATCACATTTCCCCTTCTGAATGTGATAGACTTTCACTAAACTTTTCAACAGCTTGCTAATGTTACCAGCTTTATGAGACCTGATGCATTTGTGAGGTTTGCACGCACTGACTGTAGAAGTGTAATCACATTTTTGAGTCTTTAGTTCTCTACTATTATCATTAAAACTAGAATCTGTGTGCACACACACTTGCATATTTTAATACAGTATTTATTACTATTACTCATATTTGTGTTACTTATTGTGTATAAATAATATAGAAGGTTTGCAAATGTAAAGTTGAACATTACAAAAGTACAAAATGTGTAATGCAATGATGGATAAAAATGATTATATGTTTATGCTGGTGTGTGTTTTTTCTTCAGGTTATAGTCCAAAGGTCTCTGTCAGCCAAATCTTTGTCTCATGCTAAAGCAGGCAGCGTGTTGGGTGGCTATCTCAAACTGCTCCCTATGTTCTTCGTTGTGATGCCAGGAATGATAAGTCAAGCACTATTCCCAAGTCAGTAGTATACCTCTCAAAGTGGGAATGTTATGTGACATGTTTTTTAATATTGTTTTATATGCATACTTATATAATACCATTTTGATTACCTTGATATTATTATATATATTATAACAGATGATGCATCTCTTATTATTGTTGTTATTGGTTTAAAGAGATTGTTTGCAACTCCTTTTTCAACAAACCTACACTATGACACCATTCTAAGCAGGTCTCCACTTAACTTTACGTTGGAAAAATTATCACATTTTTACATTTGTTGACACTTTCAATTCATGTTAATGGAGTGGGTAATTGTAGGTAACACATGTGTGGTGTTTTGTCTCATTTAATATAAACGAAATTGTTATTTGTTTCAGCCCCACCTTTGTTTTCTTCTTTATTTGTAGATGAGGTTGGTTGTGTGGATCCAGATATCTGTCAAAGTGTGTGTGGTGCTTCAGTTGGTTGCTCTAACATTGCTTACCCTAAACTTGTAATAGAGCTAATGCCTGTGGGTAAGACACACACATACACACACACTCATTTTGATATCTTAGTGAAGACATCTAAAAATCGAACTGACATAATGCTTTCCCTACCTGCTTACCCTAACTCTAACTATCAAAAAGGAATGCTTAACCCTAACCCTTAGCCTAAACCTTACCATAACCTAATAGTAACCCTGACACTAAGAACATATTTTAAAATTTCAAAACCGTGAGGACAGGCACTTTCCTCACAAGTGACTGTTGGTCCCCACAAGTATAGTAACACACACACACACACACCTACCTATCTACCTATCTATCTATCTATGTATGGCACAAGAAGTAAGAACATTTTTGTTTGCTCAGTTATATCTGTGTTTTAACAATGCCTCTTGGCAAGAAATCTTAAACTGTTGAAATTGTGTTTATTTCCCCTTAAATGGTGCCACAATTGTAGGGAGAATGTATTTATGGATTGAGCAGTAGAATCAAACCCAATCTTCTCTGTCAATACTAAACAGCTTATTCTGCTATTGACTCTTCTTTTGAGCTTCTGGTACCCAAGTTGCTGACAATCAGGTGTGCGACTGGTGCCTGATTAAAAGCAACTGTAAGCAGGGACCCTGCTACAGCACTCAGCATGTCACATTTGACTAATCTCAATAGGGACCGTACCAACCTGGAGCTGGTCTTCCATAGAACCAAGTTCAATTCGATTTATTTCAATTCTTTTTAAATAGCACCAAATCACATCAGCAGTCACCTGCATGCTCTTCATTATTTGGAATGAGCCCCCAGAACCATCTCTAAATTGAAGGCCAAGTTTCATGTAACGGGCGATGTCAGCTACAGGCCACATCCCAAGAAGATGGCACAACAGGAAGACAGTTTCCTCACCCTGTCAGTAGTAGACAGTCTTTTACAGATTTGCAGTCAAGGTTTACAGAACAATATGGCTGATGGCTCTTTACTGAGATAATCCAGAACAGATCTTGATGCCTTGATGTTCTCAGAGATAAACACATGCATTAAGAGAGTTTATAAAAATCTATGTTCTTTTTCCATGGCAACAACTGACAATAAGCAGATTTTATAAAATGATGTGCCATCATTTTTTTCTTCTTCACAGGACTTCGTGGTCTGATGTTGGCAGTGATGTTAGCTGCTCTTATGTCATCCCTGACTTCCATTTTTAATAGCAGCTCTACTCTGTTTACACTGGACCTCTACCACAAAGCCAGGCCTAAAGCTTCTGAGTTGGAACTTATGATAGTTGGAAGGTAAGATTGACAAGAATACCTAATATGCTTTGGAAAACCAATACAAAACTCAGATGTTCTACAACATTAATACCAAAGCTATACTTACCCTAAATACAGTTTTCAATTGAGCAAATTAGTAACATGAGGTTGAAGAGCCCAGAGGCCAGAATTGGTATGTGGACCTACAAACAGATTCAAATACAGGAAGCAAAAGTAAGATGTTCTCACAAATTTTATTGAGCAACAGAGTGTAAAACTAAGGCACAGGGAATGAATGGGCGTGGAATCTGGACATGGGGGATGGTGAGACAGATGGAGTCTATGGCTTACTTGACTAGTGGAGTGGCAGTGGCAGTGGGGGAGGTAGTGTTGGCCGGGTGAGTGTCCGATAAAGTGGAGTGGAGTGAGTCCAACCTGAATGACCCAGAGATGCAGAGCTATGAATGTAGGAGAGCAGGTTGGTGGTGAATAGTGAGTCTGTGTGAGAGAGGCTGTGAGTGGAGTCCTAGAGAAGGTGACCAACATCCAGGGTGGTATGCGTTCTGCAGGCAATGGAAGAGGTGATCCAAGAGGCTATTGAGGGCACAAGAGAACAAGGTAAGTTTACAAAGAACTAAGCACTAGAGACAAAGGCGTCCTGCCACTAACATGTGGTTAGTCTACGAACTGGCGAAGAACAGATGTCGGGGCTGGTCTTAAATACTGCCTTAGATTAGCCTGAATCTCCAACAGGTGCAAGTAGCAGATGTACTCACCAGGGCTCTGCCCAGAGGAGGACACACAGGGACACCATGGAAAAATCCAGACGACTCACCTGGACCATTACAGTAGTATTAATCAGAGCCAGACTGGGTTTGGCTCCAAGGGCTGAACAGAATGTTTTCAAAACCTGGGAGGTGAACTGTGGTCCTCTGTCTGACACGATCTCAGTCAGGATGTCGTACAGGCTAAACACATGATCCACCAGGATGTTAGCCGTCTGGGATGCTGTGGGAAGTTTTTTTTTAGGGCGATGAAGTGCTCGGATTTGGAGAACCTGTCAACATCAGTCAAAATGGTCGACTTCCTGGAGGAAACAGGCAGGCCGCTAACAAAACCTAAAGCAATGTGGGATCAAGGCTGACTGGGAATGGACGATTGGTTGAAGCCGAACTGAAGGACGTTGAGTTTTATTTTTGTTCCGTGCAAAGATGGTGCATGCGGCCGAATAATCCCGGACATCCTTATCTAAAATCTCCCAACAGAAATGTCTTTTAAGTAATGAAGTGGTCGTACCTCTCCAGGACAGGAAAACCAGGTGGTGTGGATACAGTCCAGAATCACCCAATGTAACGATGATTAGCTGGTCTCGAGCTTGGATCTGGCTCTGACACAAGAGCTTGGCTAATGGCCTCCTCCACATCCCAAGTAATGTAACCAATCTTACAGGTGGGCAGAAGTATAGTTGCAATCTCAGAGATGTCAACCTCAACTATGAATGGTTTAGTGTCTAGGTGAATTAGGACTGGTGCTGATGTAAACAGATACTTCAATTTGGTGAAGGCGGCTTCAGCCTCAGGGGACCAGATGAACGGGACTTCAGTGGATGTGAGCTGTGTAAGAGGTGCTGCTACCTGACTACAGTTGCAGATGAAGTGGTGATAGAAGTTGGAAAAGCCGAGAAACTGTTGAAGATATTTATGTTAGGTAGGTGTTGGCCACTCCTTAACTGATTGAACCTTTGCTGGGTCAGTCTTCATCTCCTGCCAGAATGTATCCAGATGTTTAGTAAAATCCACATTTCTCAGCCTTGACATATAACCTGTTTTCCAAGAGATGTTGGAGGACTGCACGAATGTGAACTTGATGCTCCTGAAGGAATTTGGAGAATATTAGTATGTTATCAAGATAGACGAAAATATTCAGAAAATCTCTGCGAACATCATTCACCAGTGCCTGAAAGACAGCAGGGGCATTAGTAAGACCAAACAGCATCACCAGATTTTCAAAATGACCTAGAGAGTATTAAATGTGGTATTCCAATCATGCTGCTTTTTTGTTTTACTTTATTCTTTTTTATGTAATCCTGCACATAGACATAGACAGGTGAAATGTGGATAAGGTAGGATCTAGGGAAGTTTGCATGTTGGGGTAATGTTCTCGTTGATGGCATCTGGTCGTGATCTTTTGTTTAGTAAGCATGCTATTTGTTTTGGGTAAGTTTGTTACGTGAGTGCATTCAGGGAAGTGGTGCAATCACCAAGACTCCACCCACTTCCACAGGTATGAAGACCAAAAAACTGTGTTTTTTCTGCTCTTCTTCACCTGATCCCAGCTGTGAGTGAACCATTTGAATGTGTGATCGTGGACTGTGTGGGCCCATTGCCTAAAGACAAAACTGGACATTAATTTCTGCTAATGTTAAAGTGTGCTGCTACACGTTTCCCAGAAGCTGGTCCATTCAGGAGGATCTCCGCACCTCTGGTCATTATTACCTTAACAAAGTTTTTTACTACCTTTTGGAGCTCAGGAATCAAACATATAGTGGCTAATGCTTATCATCCTCAGTATCAAGGAGCTCTAGAGCAGTGGCACCAAACCCTTGGATCAAAGTTACAGAAATACTGCTTAAACACAAGTAAATACTTGGATGAGGAAGTGCCAATGGTTGTGTTTGCCATACAGGAATCACTTTTTGGACACAGTCTGGGGGCATAATCAAAACTGATGTTCTGGATTATGTTTCAAAGTTTAGAGAACACTTGCACACAGCCCTTTTAGTTGCAGGCCCTATCATCTGCCCAGGCCTCAATGTAACATCGGTATGATAAGACAGCAGTGTCCTAGCAGCGGTGTCCTAGTCCTTAATGTCACCTGGCAAGAAGGCTCGTTTCTCAGGACCTTAGGTGGTCAAAAAGAAGGTATGTGAACCTGATTATGAGGTTAAAGACCCCTGACTGGAAGCAACAAACCCATGTACCACAGCAGAGATGACATTTCCTCAGATGTTGCAAAACCGCTCGTTGTACCTTTGGCAACTGTATCAGCTGGTGACCCTGAGACCTCTCCAGTTCCCATCTCTTCCCTCATCTTTAAGGAGTTTAAGTTAAGTTTTCATGTTTCCGCTGTAGAGTGCTCTGAGTATGCAATGGATCTGAAACTGTTTAAATCTTCATTTTTATATTATCATCAGTTAAAATTTCAAAGGACAACATTTGATTTCTAGATAATTGTGCTATCAATAGTAACTCTGGGCCCCTGTGGAGTCGGACTAAAATAGGATTAAAAAAAGAAAACTAAGGAATCATTTAAACATGTAGACTCCAAAAGTAACACAGGTACGTAGCATCGCTACTTAACTAGCAACGAATTAACAAAAGGGATTACAGAGTGACGTTAGATGTTCTATAGAACTATAAGATGTTAAGATGTGTCTTGTTAATTATAGTGATGTGGTTGTATTTTCTGTTGATTTAATGAACTGTCAGTCACAGTTTTAGCAGCAGAGCTGAAGGAGTCAGACTATGTAAAAAAGTGTACTGCGCCGACTCTGGCTCCAAAAGTGCAGCATGGCAGCTCCTGCAAACAGGAAATCTTGACTATCTTATCTATATCTTCCATCTTTTCTACAGTCATTGCTGGGGCTAGGTTAATCGAAAATTTTAAGTTGCCCTTTGGTGTGAATGGAAGTCAAATGGTTGTTTGTCTCTCTGTGTTAGCCCTGCACCAGACTGGCAATATGTCCAAGGTATACCACGCTGCTCGTCCTATAGTAGCTGGGATAGGCTCCAGCCCTCCATGACCCTGATAAGGATAAGAAGTAGACAATAAATGGATGGATGAATAGATGGATGGATAATAACAATAATGCGTGTGTTTTCAGGGTGTTCATCCTCGTCTTGGTGTGTCTTAGTCTGCTGTGGATTCCTGTTGTCCAGACAGCCAATAGTGGACAGCTGTTTGACTATATTCAGTCAGTGACCAGCTTTTTAGCACCTCCCATTACTGCTCTATTCCTAATGGCTATCTTTTGGCCACGAGCCAACGAGCAGGTATGTCTGCCTCTTCAGATTCAATCCAATTCAACTGTATTGGTCCCTGTGTCATTCTATCCCTTGCATCCTCTTATGTTAAACCAGCTGACACCTTCACTACATTCACAAATGTCCTCTGAAGTCTTCCTCTTTTCCTCCTGCCTGGCAGCTCCATATTCAGCATCCTTTATCCAACATATCCACTATTCCAACTCTACATATCTCAACTCTAGCTTTGTCTCCAAACTGCTAAACATTTGATGTACTCATTTTCTAATCTTATCTATCCTAATCTTGTGATTGGAAGAGGACGTGTAGGATGGCTTTCATGTGCAAATCCATCCTCAGACTACTCTCCAGTGTGTGTGTGTGTGTGTGTGTGTGCCATTCTCTAGTCTTGAGATTCTTGCAAGTTGATATATAGAGATATGTCCTGTCTCCTCTTAATTTCATTTAGAGCTCTTTCGTTTTTTTAGTGCAGTCACTGTTGACGTTTCCTGACGCTGTTACGATGATACCAAGGTTCGGGCCATGGCTGGGAGCTGCATTTCAGCCAGTGGTGTTTGAGATTTTTGAAAGTATCTGATTAACAGCAGCTTCATATTTCAGCATGACAATGACCCCAAAAATACAGCCAATACAGTGAAAACATACTGGATAGAAAAATACACAATAGAACACCACCAGTCGTTGACTGGGCCTCTCAAATCTTCAACATTACTAAAGCAGTATGAAATCACTTTGACAGAGAATTTAAAAGAAAATAATAGATATGTAAACACAATTTTAAAAACAAGCAGAAACCTTAATAACTTGGGTTTTTTTTTTCTTTGCCAGTTCCAAATTATTCAGCATCTAACGCGTTGTGTATGTCCTCTGTCTCAGGGTGCATTCTGGGGTCTGATGGCTGGACTAGTGATAGGACTGATCCGAATGGTTCTGGAGTTCTCCTATTCACCTCCTTCCTGTGGTCAGCCTGATCACCGGCCTGCAGTCCTAGCTGATGTCCACTACTTGTACTTTGCTCTCATCCTGTTGGCTCTCACATGCCTCATCATTGTTGCTGTAAGCCTGGCCACTGCCCCAATACCTAAAGAAAATGTAAGGAAAATTCCTTATATTATGATATTTTATTTATATTCTGATCTCTGGAGTGGTAATCAGAAGGTGTCTACTGAACAATATCCAGGGTTCATATAACATATGATTCCTGCTGCAAAACAAACGAAAGAAAGAAATGCAAAGGGAAAGTGTAACCAAGTTGCAGTTAAGAAATTCATTTTGATTATGTGGATTTCAACCTTCTTTTGACTGCTTCCTTTAGGGGTCACCAAAACAGATAAACTATTGAACCCTTGAGGATTCTTAATCTACAGAAATTGAAGTTGTGAGATTTTAATACATTTAAGGCTGGGGCAACCGTGGCTCAGGGGGTTGGGAATCGCATCTGTAACCGGAAGGCCGCCGGTTCGATCCCTGGGCTCTCTGTCCTGGTCGTTGTGTACTTGGGCAAGACACTTTACCCTACCGCCTACTGGTGTTGGCCAGAGGGGCCGATGGTGCGATATGGCAGCCTCGCTTCTGTCAGTCTGCCCCAGGGCAGCTGTGGCTACAACTGTAGCTGCCTCCACCAGTGTGTGAATGTGAGAGTGAATGAATAGTGGTATTGTAAAGCGCTTTGGGTGCCTTGAAAAGCGCTATATAAATCCAATCCATTATTATTATTGTTCATCACTGGAATCATCATGGGTTACTTTAAACATACAGACCTGAAAAAAATACTTGATCAGGTCTATACAAATACACTGACAGTATATAAGGCGCATACACCTGCGCACCTCAGACTATCAGATCATATCCCTCTCATTCTGATCCCAATGTATACACTGTGGGTGCGCATTGAAAGAACTGCAGTCAAAACAGCGCAAGACTATTTTGATCAAAGAAACTGGGAATTGTTTGCAGGTGAGAGTTATGTGGAAAACTGTGTCTGTTCAGTTTAGGGGTACATAGAGTTTTGTACTGAAAACAATACAACAAAAAGAACAATAAATCTATTTCCTCATTGAAAAGCCATGGTTGAACAGTAATTTTAGGGCTCTACTTAAAAAAAGGCATGCAGCCTTCAGGACAGGGGACAGACGAACCTACAGCACAGGAGAAACTCCAGAGAAGCATCAGGGAAGCAAAGCAAACCATAGAAAATGACAATCCCAGCGGTATGTCGAAGAGCTTTAAGGTACTGATGGACTACAAGACCATCAGAATGCTGCCAGACGATGACGATGCTACACTGCTTGATATCTTGAACAGGTTCTTTCCCTGTTTTGACACCAGGAGAGGAGGGGAATGACTGGTCATTTAGCCAAGTAGACAATACACACTTGTCCTTCAACAGCATCAGATGAGGACTGTGTTAAAAGGCATCAACATCCACAAAGCAACTGGTCAAATATCCTTGGACAAGATATTAACCCTAAGTTGCTCTCCAGTGTGTGTGAATGTTAAATAGAAAGCACTCGTGTAGAAAGAGCATAGAAAAAAGTGCTCATGTGTAGTGAGCATGAGCATATAGTGAGGTTGGGGAGTAGCCAACTAAGTGGTGTAAGGAAAATGATCTAATCTTGAACACATCAAAATCAAGGGGATTGACTTCAGGAGGTCGAGGGTCAAGAAACTACATCTCTGGTGAAATAGTGGCGATTGTGGAGAACCGTAAGTAGCTGGGAGTCACCTTCTCTGCACAGCTGACTTGGTTTACAAGAGAATCTTCTTTCCTAGAAAGTTGAAGGAGGCCAGAAGCTCGTGCTGAAGTTCTACGGGAGTATATACTGATGACTCATGCAACAGTGTGGTATGCCAGCTGTTCTGCTGGTGAAACGAAAGAGCTGCACAGAGTGGTGCAGACAGCAAAGTGCATTACTGGGATGGAGTCAAGGAGGCTGACGGTATCAGCAAAGACAGTACACTCCTGGGATATTCTCAGTTTGAACCGCTTCCATCTGGCAAACAGTTCATTGTTTCCATCTAGAGTGGTAGCTTCCACTACACTACCACTGTAAAGATGGCACAGAAATACTCAGACATTTCAGTACAAACAAAACATAATTGGCTCGACACAACCTTATACAGTCGTGTATAATGCTGCTATTTTACTTCTCTGTTGATGCTGCTTAAGTTTGCTACTAACTTTATTTTTATCTCTTAAATTTGCTTCTAAGTTTAAGTTGTTTTGGTTTTTTACTTGTATTGTTTTGTCCTAAGAGAGAAAGCCAAACCAAATTGAATTGTACTATGTATAATTAAATTGAAATCATTCATGTATTTGATCATTAGTAATCTGTAATAACTGTTTTTCATTTGTCGTCTCTTTTCATGTGTAGCTGCATAGGCTGACCTGGTGGTCCAGACATAGTCTTGAACCGCGGATGGATCTCTCAAGTCTTCAGATCACCTCTGACCAAGTGGACTCTAACCTCAGCTCAGAGTCTGACCGATTGCAAGAATCCACTTGGAAGAAAGTTGTTCTGTGGCTTTGTGGTTTGTCTAGTTCACGCTCCGAGTCGGCAGCTCCAGTGATTCAAAGCAGTGAACGAAACTTCCTCCAGGAGAAGTCACTCTGGAGAATAGTCTGCAATGTTAACGCCCTGCTACTGCTGGTTGTTAACGTGTTTCTCTGGGGATACTTTGCTTAATGTGGTCATGAAATCTTGAACATGTTGTTGTTTTTCTTACTTCTTACTCTTCTTAATAACTTTACTTTTCTAAACTATTCAGGAAAGAAGTGGGACAGAAAAAGGATTCTCAGATATGAAACAATGAACTAATTATTCTCTATTGTATACTGTATACTGTATACAGGCGAGAGAGATAAGATTGACATCCAGTTAGCTCATTAACTGCCTTTGTTAGCAAACAATGTACAGCTCAATCTGCTCAACTTGAAAAAATAAAATAGCCCTTTATTGTGATTGTTCATGTACAACAAAATTATGACATGAGTACAAGTGCATCTGACAGGTACAGTTAGGAAGTAGTGCAAAGGACTTGTCTGAGTATAGAGTCTGTATGTGAGTGTAGGTTTTTTGCCACTGTTCTGGTAGACGTTGATCTTGGTTTCATCTGTCCAAAGAATGTTTTTCTCGAACTGGCTTTGTTTTATATTTGTTGTTGTTGTTGTTTCTTTTTTAGCAAAGTCCAGTCTCGCCCTTCTATTCTTGAGGTTTATGAATGGCTTGCACCTTGCAGTGAACATTCTGTATTAATTTTCAGTCTTCTTCTTTTATATTCTCATTTTCTCATTTATCCAGTATATCTACCATGCCTTTTATGCACTTCTGGACTTTTTCTGCTCTTCTGTTAAAACTATCTCAGCCATGCCACTCTAACTTTGTCCTTCAAACAAATGTAATCCAGTCTCCACCCTGAACTGACCTGAAACCCACCGGTCACTCCTACTGCACACCTCACCAGTGTTTCACTGTTCTCATACATGTTCTGCACTAGTCTTTCTCTATATCCACAATGACACTGGCTGTCTTTCGTCCAGTTTGCCACCCCTCACAACATGGTGATGGCCGTCCATCCATGAGACTAGTTCTGTTGGAGGTTTCTTCCTGTTAAAAGGGATTTTTTTCTTCCAACTGTTGCCAAAACACTTGCTTATAAGGGGGTTATAGGATTGTTAGGGTTTTTCTATTTTCTTTGTATTATTGTAAGGTGTTTACCTTACAATATAAAGCCCCTTGAGGAAACTGTTGTTGTGACTTGGCACTATATAAATAAAACTGAATTGAACTCCCTTTGTCTGTTTGTCTGCAACCTCAGCAGATCAAAGGGAAATTAATTTGATCGCTGGTGTTGTTCTGTGTTCTCACAGCTACAGTTAAACTCTCAAGATCAGAAATTAGTACAAACATTTTATATATTTTCTAAATAAACAAATTATTACATGCACATTCCTGTGACAACGCAACAGTTTGCTTCACTTAAAAGTAAGGCAAACTGTTGCATTCCTTTTGCAGTGCAGAGTTAAGCTGCACATATAAAATGCATACCCCCAGCAGAGAATCTATATTGTGCCATTATCACCAGCAGGAGGTGACACTAGTGTTAGGTCTCTGAAGTGGAATCTGTTCACAGAGCCAGCAATAAACAAAAGGTAGAATTTACATTATGAAAGACCACATATTAAATGTCCATTCTCAATAATTGTTTATTTATTAAAACACAAGTGGAAAGAAAGTACAACTATAGACCACGTTGCATTGCTTGGAGCCAGGCCCAGGGGAGGGGCTTGTCAATAAGTGCCTGGTGGTCAGGCTAGCCCGTGCAGCCTGGCCGGGCTCAGTCACATCTTAACATAACATATTAATGTAATATGCCTGTCTTACAGAAGGTGCACACCTCTTTTTTATTACAGAAGGCTGTGATGACTAACTGAAACCAGACAAAAAATTGATCTATACAGTAACGTGCATCACAGCTTGTAAATCATAGCACATTTTCCATAAATGCAAAAATGTGAAGAAATAACTGCCTTCATGTCTGGTTATCAACCTTTATTTTTTCTGTTTAAAACAAATGGAAAAACTCAACAACACATAAATATCCATATTTACAGCATCTGTGGTAGTGTAACACAGCCTTCTGCATTCTTTCTTCTATACTACACCCATCTGGTCCTCATGAGAGCGCTGGTGGAAGACAAAGGACACAGCAGCATCCCAAGACGCTTTCAGCACTTGGTCCCTCAGGCCCTTCTTGTCAGAACAGTGGTTCCAATGGGAGAGGTCACTGTTACAGTCAGCATCATTGTCAGGTTGTCTTGTTTCTCTGCCATTCACACAGCGGCGACAGCGAAACCTAATACAGGAGGGGAAAGAGAGGCTGATTAAGGGCGTGCCATACATTAGGATCCATAGTGTGAGATTATTTTTCTATCATAAGTTGCGCAGAGAAAAGACAAATAATTTCATTTCAGCGGAGCAATTAAATTTCTCACGTGTGAAGAACTTAGCAGCAATGAACACAGTGTCTGCTTTGTGCAGCTACAGTTTCCCCCCCTCGCGGGAGGCTTTTTCCACCTACAGAGGAATCCTGCTAACACGAATCAACTGACTTTTGACTGGATGCCCATAGGATCCTTTGATCAACAGTTCAGGTGATTGTGTTAAACAGTTACATTAGTTATTTACTGCGTAGCAATATAAATACTGACAACAGTCACTGGATTACATCACTGCTGAAGAAATCTTTAAAACCAGAAGATTCAAAGGTAAGTTCTGAAGCCTCTGCACTGCTGTCCCATTAATCTGCATGCCCTTTATAATTAAAAATAACAAGGATGAGGCAAGGAAGTGTGCATCATAATCAATCAATTATAATTATAGCCAAAATAGAAATATAACCATGCCACCAAAAAGCTGCTCAGTCAGCAGCAAACACGTTCACTTTGGTGGGATGTGCAGCTACAAGTGATAAATCAGTACAGACCGAGAAACTGTAGCCGTGGCCGCAAAGCACACACTCCTGCAGGTGCGACGGCTTCTTTGTGTGGCTGTTGAGTTTTACACGCGAGGGTCGTTAAATTTAAGCACAAAGAATTTAATTGTGCTGTTGAAATTAAATTATTTTCTTGGATTATGTTTTTTTCTTGAATGCAACTTATGATAGAAAAATAATTCCATATTGCATAATAATGGCTTCAAACCATTACTATCCACGTCAACCTAGCAATGAAAATGCCATAACTAACAACTTCGAATCACTTTTCACGACAGTGTCAAACCCTCTCAGTTTTGCTCAAATAACTATTAATATCAAAAACTCACATTAACCTCACTTGGTGTCAGTTCTTGTGCGAAAGCCCATAAAACCTAAAAGCACATGATAGGCTGCCCAGAACATGATAGATGCAAAGATCTAACTGCAGCTGCAATCAGCTCTCAACTCAGAGAAGAACACATAACCTTTTACAGCTACGTCACTTGTGCCAAGAATATTTCTACAAGATATTTGGGCTTTAATTTTAATTTACCATTTCTAGAGTAAATTAAGCTCTCTGGACAATTAGTAGACTGAACAGCACAGACAACGTGTGTGAGTAATGTGTTGTACTTGTCGTGTGTGTCACTAGTGGTCTCTTCGTTGAGAGTGAAGAGTTCTCGGAGTTCGCCCAGAGAGAAGTGACGCTCCACATCCTGCTCTTCATCCACCACACAGCTGCTCAGGGCTTTTTTATGGGCCTGCCTTTGCAGGATCTTCTCTTCAATTGTTCCCGTCTGTCGGGAAACAAGCACATGTCAAAACAGGTAAATCTGTAACCAGCTCAGTGTAGATTTTAAAAGTAACCTGCTGTACTAAAACACTGAATGTGAGGTCCTAAACACTGTTGAAAATGCACTGAACTGACAGAGAGAAGTCGGTAGATGTAGCAGGTCTTCTTCTGACCATCTCTCCACACCCGAGCCATTGCTTGCTCGTCATTCGCTGGGTTCCAGTCGGGATCAAACATCACCAAGCGGTTAGCACCAATCAGATTGAGGCCACATCCACCAGCCTTGCTACTCAGCATGAAGATGAACTCTGGGTTCTGAGAAAAAGATGTCTTCAGACGCTGTTCAGAAGTCTTTCAAAGCTCTAAATATTGCTTCAAACTGATTTTCCAACTCACCGACGGGCTGTTGAACTTTTCCACAATCTTGGCTCTTTTCTTGATTGACATCGTGCCATCCAGCCGAACATAGAGGTATCTGACAAAGACACAAAGGAGGAGGAATTAAAATCATTTAAATAGCGCACTTATAATAGTGATTTCTGCAAATATACCTTCTAGATCTGCAGAGCTTTTCAAAGAGATCCAGAGTCTGTGTGTAGTTGGAGACAAGCACCACTTTGTCTCTTGTTGTGGTCTTTGTCATTGCCAGAATGTAGTCGAGAACCAGCATTTTCCCTGAAATAAACAAAGCAATAAATAGAGAGAGGAGAGGCTGCATGACTTTAAAATAGCACCACCCTTTGGACACATTTCCAGAAAATTAGTCTTAACAAAAGAAGGGAATAAAAAAGTTAATTCTTATAAAACAATATTTTCTTTAATATTATGTAAATGTAAAATGTAAACATTAGACAAGCTATTAAATTGTGAAAACAACCCTGTTCACGTTTTTACTTATCTTATCTATCTGACCTAATGTTCTGTTTACATTCTACTAATCTAATGCTAATCTTCTTCCAACTAGTAAGTGTGGATGACCTGGAAGACCATCAGAGGAGCTGCACCACGATATGCTGTGCACGTTCTTACCAGAGAGCTGAGGTTCAACATCTTTGGTGGAGTAGTTTGGAGGAAAAAGTTCTAATGCCCCTTCAAATCCCTCCTCCCGTTCCACACACTTCTCATAAATAAGAGCTGGATCTGAGAAAGATGGCACTCATTTGTATTTTTTCCAAGCAGAAGATAATTCTAGATGTAAGACGACAATCTTGTTTTCTATTAATAGTTTACATTTTAGCTCAATTATGAGAGGACAATTTTTCTGATGATCACTGTAGTGTTCACAGATGCAACATTTTGTGTTACATTTTTCTCACTTACGATTGCACAGTTTCTTGAGTGATGTGATGGAAGACAGGGAGGAGACACTTATTTTGCCCTTTTGTAATGTCTCAATGGGTTTGGCCTGCTTTAGAAAGTGTTTATAGAGCTCTGTCTGTAGAGGGGTCAGCCTGCAAGGAATCACAAAGAGACACAAATTCAAATCAAATTCCATGTAAATTAAATCCTGTTTACATTTTTGTTTTGGGACACTCCATACTCCCAAAACACCTCCCACAGGACACCCCGAGGGACACGTTCGAATGCCTTCTCCAAGCCTACAAGACAAATGTAGACTGGTTGGGCAAACTCCCATGCTCCCTCGAGCATCCTCGAGTGGGTAAAGACCTGGTCCAGTCTTCCATGATCGGGACAAAAACTGCTCGAGTAAACCTCAAGTAAGGGATATATCAAAAGTATCATAATTTATCAGAAAAATAAATAAATTATGGTAGCCCCAATACTACCCCTCAGCCTCCTTGCAGGAGAATTTTCCTCTGTACGTTTCCTCTGAAAAGTCCCGGTTCTAGAAGATTTAATTAGCAAGTCAC